GACAAAACAGAAATAAGCAAAAATTTAAAAAGAAAAGCAAAAAAAAAAAAATGAAGAAAAGAAAGAAGTGAAAGAAATTTCTCTGTGATTTCAAACCTGTGCTTATCTTCTGAGGTGTACAGTTTTGTGGCAGTGTAGGAATTCAGAGTGTAGCTGCTTTTCCTGGCAGTAAAAAGAGGCAATCAGAGCCCAGATCCATGCTGGATAATCACCAGCAAGCTGGCAGTAGGGGAAGGGCAGAGTGCTGGTTCTGTGACATTCAAGTCCATGGAAATTCATTTAGCTTATAACTTTGGGTGCTTCTTGCTGCCTGTCCATGGCTCCCTGACCAGGACATCTCTATAGTTGTCCCTCACCCAATCACTGTGGGAGTTTAACATTAGGAGACCTGAGATGAAGCCAATCCACAGCTGCTCTGAGTCCCAGGTTCAGTTGGCCTCTGCCTAGAATACTGTCCAACCAAGCGCTTTCTCCAGGGGACATGGCAGATGGTTGGACTTGTGTCACTCACCAGCTGTTGCAGTGTATATCATCCACTGGTCCATTCCACTGGTGCCTTTCTCCCTGAAGGTTTCTAGAATTGCCTGCTTTTCTGTGTCTGTAGATTCAATATCTATTTCTCATGAACTAGGAGCCAGGAGTTAGGAATGGAGGAGAAAGTACATATTGTCCCTTTCTTTAGTGTGTTCTGTATCTTCAGCTTTTCTATAAGCTCCAATTTCCTGGGTCTTGGGGATCCACCTCCCTTTTTTGTTTCTTCCCCAAGTTGTTATTTTTCAGTGTCTGAGTTCTGAGTCTTGGAGAGGCTGATTTGTTGCTGCTTACCACTCTTTCACCTTCAATATCCAGTATGTATTTTCTAAAGCATGTTTTTAGCACATTTCCCAAAAATTAGTTGGGTGCATCTGCACGGATATAATTCTAGTTCTGCTCCACTTGTCTGTGTTTGTTTTTATGACAGTGTGGTCCTATTTTGATAACTGTAAAGTTTAGTAGATTTTGAAGTTAGGTAAGGTAATGTCTCCTGCTTTGCTCTTTTGTTCAAGGTGGCTTGGCTATTGAAGGTTTTTTGTGGTTCCATATGGATTTCAGGGTTGCTCTTTGTATGTAGTGTTGTGAAGGATATAACTAATATTTTAACTTATTGAATTAAATCTGTAGATTTCTTTGAATAGTATGGATATTTTAACAATAATGAATCTTCTATGAACACAGGATGTCCTTCTGTGTGTGTGTGGGTATTTGTTTTTAATATTTTTCATCAATGTTTTATGAATTTCATTGTAGATATCTTTCACTTCTTTGGTTCAATTATTCCTAGGTATTTTATTTTTTGTAGCTATTATAAATGAGATTGCTTTCCTACTTTCAATTTCAGGTAATTATCTATTTGTATATAACAATATAGTTTTTTTTTCAAAACTACTTTTTCCTCCATCAGTTCTACAAATTAAACTCATGTCGTCATGCACGCTAGGCAAGTCCTCTTATGCTGAGCTAAACTTCCAGTCCACCTACTGGCTTTTTATCTTTGTATGTTGGTGTGAATGACTGAAGTAGCCCATGGATTCTCTCACTTACAAAGAACTGAAGTCTCTTCCCTCAGTCATGTGTCTGATCATCGTGAAAGTAGCTTCCCCAGCCCCAGTCAAACCTTCAGAGAACTGTGTCCCTCACTAGATCTCAACTCCAGCCCACGAGAGATTTGGAGTCAGATCCATCCAGCTAAGCCACTTCTAAGTTCCAGATCCACAGAAATTTTGAGAAAATAAGTGCTTACTTTTGAAACTACTAAGTTTTGGGATAATTTGTTATGCTGCCATTAATAATTATTAATACATCCTCTGATCATATGAAGTCAGTTCAAAGGGATCTGAAAGACCAGGTAAGGCAGACAGGATAACTAAATTTCACATTTCCTGTGAAATTTAAAGGTATTTGTTGAGTCCTTCTCTACTTCATTTGCTCAGAGTTGTCACACACATTGAGACCTCTTCTCTAGCCTTGATTTTAAGAGATGCAATGTCTAGTCCAAATTGCATATCTGTTTAATGATGAGAACTCCATTTCCTGACTGCAAGCTCTTACCACTATGCTGTGATAAACTTCATAGAATGGCTTAATTTTAGTTTTAATTTATATGAGCTATCTACCCACTTGCCTAAGTTCAGTCATTGACTTGGTAGGAATTACTTCTCTAGACAGAAGATAGTAGTATTCTGTTTAGGAGAGTGGGAGATAGTTGAAATGCTAATTCTCCTCAGCTGAATAATGATCCTTAAGAATGTCTTGGTTCTAATCCCTGGGACCTATGGGTGATAGTTTATGTGGGAAGGCATGTTGCAAATGTAAGTTCAGGATCTGAAGATGGGGAGACTCTCCAGGTCGATCCTGAGTGTAGTCACAAGCATCCTTACAAAAAGGAGGAAGGGGAGGTTTGCTCAGAAGACAGATGTCCTGAAAGAAGGGAAAGCAAGGCTGGTGTGATGCCAGGAGCTGAGAGATGGGTACAGCATACATCCTGAGAAAGGCAAGGAGCCATATTCCCCTCCACAGTCTCTGAGGGACCAAGCCCTGCTGGCCCAATCATTTTAGTTCACTAATTTCAGGCTGTAAAAAATTGTGAAAGAGGGGCTGGGGATTTAGCTCAGCGGCAAAAGCGCCTGCCTGGCAAGCGCAAGGTCGTGAGTTTGGTTCCCGGTACCGGAGAAAAACCAAAAAAAAAAAAAAAAAAATTGTGAAAGAAAAATTTTGTAGTTTTTTTTGTATGGGGAATTGAACTCAGGACCTTGTGCTTGCCAGGCAGGCACTTGTGCCCCTGAGCTATATCCCTGGCAAATGTTGTGTTTTTTAAGCCACTAAGTTTGTAATAACTTGTTATAGCTACCAGAAGGAGGTAAGGCACTTATCACACCTCTAACAGGCCCTAGTTTGGTAAGTTTGTACTGGAAAACATTTTAAGTGTCACTTTGTTATGAACTACGAATGATACAATGCCTGTTTTTCAGGGCTGCTCTTGAGATTAAGATCATTCATCTGCAATGATCAGGACATGGGGCACATAGAAAGTTTTTGTTTGCTGTGGACTTGGCTTAGATGCAAAGTTTGTACCATGTTTTACTTGAAAAATCAAGTAGAATATTCAATATTCAATGGAATATAGAAAAGGTTGAATATTTATTAACTGTTTTACTATTCTAATTGTCCCTCCTCAAGGTTGTTGACTATAAGTTGAAAAAAAAAGGCAGAAGGCTGAAATGACACAGGCTTAGCCCAGATGAAAGAACTAAACATTTTGAAAGGATTTCTTTGCCTATTAGCTGCTTGCAGAGAAATTCACACAGCACAGGTGAAAAGTTATGCTATTTATAAAGGTCTCTTGAGAGGAAATGTCTACAACATTCCCGATAATTTCCCTCAGTACACATAAAGCCTGTTCTTTAGTTCCACAGAAGACTGAACTGGTGGCTGTATATTCTTCTTTCCCAGAAAATAGAACAGATTGGTGAGAGATGTTTGATACCCAAAGCTACCTAAGAGGCACTGCTCTACAGCAGACATATGTTAATGCCTCTGTTTCTAGTGTGACTTCAGGAGCACTGACTATATACCAGTATAACGTTTTATTTTCTTTATCCTAGATTTAAACATTTGCTAATTTAAAAGCTCATAATAATCTCATTTGTGTTACTCTTTTCTACCACCAAGCTCTCTTTAGATGCTTCTATCTTTTGGTTTATTATTTGTATTGTGTTGTGTCTATGTCCTTGTAACACTTGCCTAGATGAAGTTCCCTATGCTTTCTATCATGAGCGCTATGGGCAGGAATAACACCTACATAATTTTCTTACCTCTTGCATGGTAGGACAACTCGTACCTTGGTTTTATGATGACAGTGAGGCTAGAAAACAAAGCCAAAGGGCCCTTCCAAAATAAGGTCTGATGCTGGTGGGTCTTTATTGGATGTCTGTCCATTCACAAAGCAAATAACTGAGGAATAGCTGTTGTGTCATCATGACAACAACTTCCCAGTAGAGGACCCGGATTTCCTAAGGCCTTGCAAAACCCAGATCCTGTGAGTCAGGTGATGTGTGGAAATGAGGGATCTGGTCTACTGACTTGTCTTCTAGTGCCAGGGCTAGAAGGTGTGTTGCCTGGCACTGGCATAAAGTTGGTCTGAAACAGCTGCCTGAGATGTCGTTCTCTGTCGTGCAGAGACCCAGCTCCCCACACTGGTAATTAGAGTGAGAGAGGTTGGGCAGCAGAGATTGGTAGCTGAGGTAAAGCTCACTTCTGCAGGAAGCTCACACCTCACTGGTGCCATCTGACAATAGCTGTTTCATGGTAACATTCATAGGCCTTTTTGACTACTTAAAAGTCCCTGCTCCAAAATATAAAGTAGGTAACAGAACTGCATTCCCTCATGCAGATGCTCCACTCTCTGAGGAAAATCACAAATGAAAAAAGACATCTCCAGAAAGTGATGTGTCAACTCTCTCCTTATAAGAGGCTCACTCTAGCATTTTGCTCTTCTGGGAAAGTTGAAATTCAGTATATATCCTGAAATCTTCCCAGGTTATTGAATTCAACTCCCAGATTCTAGAAGAGCAGAAGAAACTTTCATGCACCCCTACTCTGCCCCTACAGTATAAGTACTGTACATCATTGCTTTAGCCAAAATCTTGTATATTTGGATGCATTCTGTCTGTTTATACAAGATCGGTGATACTTTCCCATTCCCACAGTAAACCCTGAGTCTTGTTTACAACAGAAGGCCGTGTCTGTGGGTAGCACATGCAAATGCTTCAGGCTCCTTCTTGCTTTTTCTCAGAGAAACCAGGAATGTGGCTTTGCTCGGTTTTACCACATCTTTACATCATGATTAATTTAAACCCCTGTCTCTCTTGCTTAGGCCTGACACAAGCAACTGCCTTTCTGTCACATTGATTTTTCTGTCCATATGGATTCAAAGCCAGGGCTGAGTCCTCGCAGGGTGAGTTCTGTGACAGGAAAGTTTTGCAACCTAATTTACAGCCCGAGTCAAGCTTGTCGGTGAGAGCCAGAGGCGAGCTGAGCTGTTGCAACTGGCTGGTTAAGTACGCATTTAATAGTGTTTACCCAGGCAAGCTTGTGATTTCTTCACCCTCTCCAACAAATATGTGATTTGTAATGCCTATCTTCTCTAATCTAAGTGTTTGAAAAATGTTTCTAACATGTGTGGGCTAGAATGCGTTTTGTTTTTCTGCAAGGTAGCCATTTAGCAAGGGCAACCTCAGAGGGACTATCCAAAACTGCTTGCCATTTTGCTAAATCATGGTTCTCTGCAGTGATCATTTTTAATCCTGAAGGAAAACAAGGTAATCTTTTCAAATAAGCATTCTCAAGGGTGTTTAGAGGAAACTCAATTGCTAGCACGTAGAACCCTTTCAGTGCTTGAGAGTACGTTATGCTGAGGCAGCACAGGGACAGCAAGTGGGAGTATTGGTAAGCATTTGGTCTGGTCAGGTGATTCACAATAATTAAATTGCAAGCAGAGATTTGCATGTGTGTGTGTGTGTGTTTCAAAAGTCACTCAGGATCTTGTTTCTCAAAGTATTTGGTAGATAATGAGGCACAGAAGGGTTAAAATCTTGCAGTAAGTAAACTGGTAAGAGATCTTGGAAATACAGTAGGTTGTGTCTTAAAAAGTCCACTGCAGACTGTAATAATCTGAAGTCAAAGGTACCCTTGAATTTACCTGGCCTACAGAGTACCCTAGATGAACAGCAAAATGCACTGCAGAATATGTTGCTCCTGATTGTGAGGAGGAGCTGAAGCTTACTGCTCTACTCAGCCTGAAGAGAGACTGTCTTCCCTCATGCCTCTAGCTCTGGGAAAGATGGGAACTCAGCATTTGAAGTATGGTTTCTCCTGAATGTGTCACAAGTTGAAAAGCCTAAGTCAACCACTGTAAATCAGGAATTGTCTGTCTTTGAACCTAAGCCTATCAGGTCAGTGGGCTAAGCTGCCTATAATGAAATAAATATGAGAGAACAAAGAACTTGACCATGAAATAAAAAGGAGGCATTGTAACAAATGCAGTTGATCAGATGGCCAATTGATGTATTATCTCTACTCTTAAGGGTCTTGACATGCAATCTAAAAGAACATATAAGATATGGACTGAATGAAAAAAATTACTTGAATTACCTAACTATGTTAAATCAAAACAGACTGTGCATGCTGGCACTTATATTACCAGCATTATTTTGTATTTTAGGAAGAAATGTATTTTTGCCTATCTCTTTCCCTTTCTGCTTTGTAGGCTTCTGTTGGACAAATGCTTTTTTTTATTTAGGCTAAAAGTCCCAGAATTTAGTGCTGGTCCTGGTTTGCATGAGGACAGAAGGGACTGCAGGAATGAATTTGATCTTGAGTATGACATTAGCTCCATTTGTGAACTTTCTTTATGTATCATTTATTGCTTAACGTGGTGACACATTCAAAACATTTTTAAAAATATGTGTACAAGATGCAAACAAATACAGTTATCTTTGTAAAAACCCTTATAGCAGTGCTGTCCAATAGTAACTGATCATAAGCTATGTGCAATTTCAAATTTTCTGATAGTTACAAAGATAAAAGAATATGTGAAATCAATTTTAATAATATATTTTACTTAATATATCTGAGATATTATTATGTCAATATGTAAATATAAAAGCATTAATAAGATGTTTTTTATTCTTTTTATATTTTTTTTGGAGAAATAGTTCATGATGGTATTGAACTATGTGGCACAAACTGGCCTCGAACTTACAGCAATCCTCTTGCTTCCAGCTCCAAGAGCGTTGGGATTCTGGTATGTTGCACCACATCTGGCTGTTATTGCATATCTTAACTGAGACCTACATTCAGACTAAATAGTAGATTATCACAATTTCCATGCTTATATAGACACATGTAGCCATTATGTAGCTCTCAGGTTCACATGCAGATATAGGGGACGTTCTCCCCTGCCTAACATTGGATCCCTGCTGTTATGACCAGGTTTGATTGCTGTAGCTTGGGAACAACCACACCCCAGTGGCACACATGTTAATCAGGGTGGCCCACCATCCCAGTTTGGAATAGTGATGTTTCCTGGGATGCAGGATTTGTGATGTTAAATCTAGGATGGTCCTGAAAATCAGGATGCCTAATATTCCCACATGTAACTCATGCTTGTTCCACCAATATATTTTGCCTTCCTGGCCACTTGGCTAGTACCCACATAAACCTGGCTGTAAATCATAGGATTTGGGGGAACTATTGGGAAAAGAACTTTACTTTCTGCAGTGTATCTTTTTGAGAACTTCAGCTGCCCCTTACATCCTGAGGGAAAAGCCTTGATGGAAGTATTACCTACTTTGGAGGAAAACACAGCCAAGAAAACACTCAGTTTTGATAACTTTTCTTGAGGTTGCCTTGGATCCAGCCTTGCCTGAACTTACATTACTCTTTGACTTTTCAGAGTCAATAAATTCTTTATAGCTCTGTTGTGTTTCTTTAAAATCATTCAGGTTAAGCTTCATTCATGTAGAAGTAGGACATTTCTCACTAATAAAATAAGAGGAAAAGAAAGGAACCCAAGAAATCTAATTGGAATTCTTCAGGCTCGTAAGAAAACTAATCAGAGGTTGTCTTTTCCTTCACATACATAACCTCCCGGAGCTACTGAGGCATATGTGGGTGTGGGTGTGGGTGTGGGTGTGGGTGTGGGTGTGGGTGTGGGTCCCTCTAATGCTGCCTGGGAGCAGCAAATATGTCTGTGGGGGAGGGGTGGAGGGCAGGGAAATAGCTATATGCTGGCAAGAATCTAGGGATTTAGGGGAATGTTAAAAGTAGGAAGCAATGAAGACCTGTGGTCTTTCTTCTGTCTGTTCCTCCCTTGCTCTTGGGCCTTTGTGCTGTGCTCCTGCTGTGAATACTGTATTTTGCTTGACACTAATGAGACCCTTAACCTCATTTTAGGTACCAGAGCATCTACAGTTCAGGAGGCTCCAACCCATGGGTCAGATGCCTTGAGAGTTTGCAGAGTTACAAAATCAGGCACCTGAAACATGCATCTGTTTATCTTTTCTTAATGCAATCATTAGCATGTGGAGATGTATGACATTTTTAGAGTGTTCCAGAAGAAAGGTAAGAGTGAGAGAGATTTTATTGAGCTACTAATGTGTACCTTGACATAGTTAAGTCCTCTGTGTGAAGCACTTATGGTACATTAAAACATATTTTGGCTCCACGGCAATTTTATAAAGCTGGCATCACCACCCTCATTGTCTTGAAATAGAGAAATCCAATTATTACCCTTTCCTTATTCATTTAGCAAAATTCATTTTGATCTATTTTATAGTCAACGCATTTATCAGCTAGCACAACAAAACAGACTTGCAAGCATATATTTCTAATCCTGTGTGTAAGTGTGTAAAGCAGAGGCACGGGAGAGACAGGCCGGGCCCCAGGCTACAGAGGAGGGCACAGGACCATCAGAAAAGCTCCCCGGAAACAGAAGCTTGAGCTGAACTAGACACAGCCACCTTTATCTGCTGTACTGGAAATTCATTTACTTTTCTCAGGAGAATATCCTATTATTTTACAATTACAAAGTATAGTTTGCTCTTCCTATGATGCCATAAGCAGCAGAATTCTGATTTGTAAAACAAAACAGTTAGATTCTTAACTTTGGATTTGTTATTCATGATGTTATTGAGCACAGTCTGCTATACATTTGGGGCTAACGTTTCCTTATTGGTCAAACAAATCAGGTTGTCCAGTTACTCTATAACAGCATACCTTTCCATCTTAGACATAAGAAGCTTTTATTTTGGGCCCTCCGTGTTCACTGTGTTGCCCTGAAGTTCAGAAGCAAGAAATCACAGCAAAGTGTAAAGGGAGGTAACAAGGAGAAAGCTCGAGCTCGTTTTTATTTTTATCAACATCAAAACATCACTCCATTATAATTTGGGGGTATTGCACTCAAGTGTATCCAGGTCAGACAGTGGCAATTTGGCAAAATCGGGCTGGTGAGTTCAGTGGGAGTTTTCCTGAATGCCTCAATCTAAGCATTATTAGATTCAAATAGAAGACTAGTGGGATTCACCAACTATTTAATATCCATAAAATATCCTTATACAGAAGCCAAATAAAATAAAGCAATGATAAAAATTCAACAATCCTACATGGATATATTCTAGAGACAGATGACATTCTTAACTTTAGAATCTGGATTTTTCCAAAGCATCAACTTTATTGTTATTTCCTTATTCATTTAGCAAAATTCATTTTTTGCTAAGTTGCTGTGTCTGGGGAATGCATGTATACATGTATAGAAGTATAACATTGAGGAAGTTGCTCTCTGCTGAATTATGTTTCCAAAGCTCAGTGTATATCTGCACCTTGAAGACACAGATGATGTCTGATACTATATGAAAAATTAGAGAGTGGAGAGGGATAACTGTTATTGACTTTTATGATGTACTTAGCCTCTCACACTGAATTTTTGAGGTTAAAAACATTTGGTGATATTGATTAGTTATTTTTTGACTAAAATGAAAATACTTCATCACATTTTATGAACAAATGTGACAATTAATGTATATTGCATGTTGATCTACATTGATCTTGAAATCCATAGAAAAGCATGATGGATGTTCCTCCTCATTGTGGGTTGGAAGTGCTGTTTGCTTCTTCATGGTGAACACGTGGTAGCCTGGGCTGCAAGGCACTCCATACCTCCTGTGTCTGTCAGAAGCAGCCTAATGGGGAAACTGCAGAAGAGCCTCATCCTCCTTGTAATCGATGGGCCTGACTTATAAACCTGGGAAAACTAGAATGTAAAGTTATCAAACCTTACCTCCTCTCACCAATTTTCTTTCTTTCACTTCCCAAAGCACACCTCGTGCAGCAACCAAACTGTACTAGGTATCATCCTCTGAACCAGCCTGGCCTTCCCCACCCTTGCGGCTCATGGGAGAGATGCCCTCTACATCCAGCACCTGTGCTCTGTCCCCATTGCTGAAGGAAAGGCATTCATTCTACTTCAAACACACTTTACTTTTAATTGGATACGATTCTGTTATGCCAGTTATGCAAGGAAACTAATGTGAAAAACCAAAAACTTTGGGGTCTAAATGACCTCATTCTGTAGTTGAGCTCTGCTGCTTATTAAAGGTGTAGCACTGGAAACATTCCAGCAACTCTCTGTGCATCTATGTCCATGTCTGCAGAATGAAGATTACAGTACTGTACAATGACTGGACTTTTTGTTTAGGTTGCTCACATAAATGGTCCAATGCAGCACCAGGCACTTAATGACTACTACACTGATGCTGGTCATCATCCCTTCTGGGGAGACCTCTGCTACTAAATGACAGTTAAGGACAGGTACAGAAGTATACTCACATGGGGTCCTTGCAGTCTTGTACGGTCCTTTGTATCAAACAGAGGCTCAGGCATATTGGCTATACCAGAGCTTTACTATAAGGACACAGATGGGGATACTCCTGGGAAGAGCCCATGTCAATAGGGTTAAAGTTCTGTTGGGTATGAAGACCAATCTCTTTAAGGCTTGTGCAAGTTACTAAAAGGTGGGATGATTTCAGAAAGAGAATAGCAGCCTCCATGTGCAGCTTGTGTGATTTAGGACCTTCTTGTGACCTCTCCCAAGGGTCACTCACAAGATGAATTAGGAAAAGAGAGACCAAAGATGGGGCCAGCTGCTCCCAGATCCTTAGATATTCTAAACAAATGGGAGATACTCCATCTTCACTGATTAATTTTTCATGATTTATTCGTGGGACATCATTTAAAAGGAGCATTTTAAAGTAAATTAATTGAACTCCCATGACCTTTTGCCCTACTAATATCATCAAAAGAAACTAGATCTTGAATTTTTAAAAATTGCTGGGTTTTTTGGTGATTTACAAACTACAAAGAATGTCAGTTTATTATTATTCTTTTTGAGATTGTGAATAAAAACCTTAGCTTTCTCAGCCATAAGTTGAAGTATCCTGAATTTGAATAATGTCAGTTTTAGCATATTAATCTCCAATGAAAGATATCATAGATATGAATAAAGGATAATAATATAATCAAAGGCACACAAACATGGAGTACTTTGGTTACCTTCAAAATAGCCATTTTTCTTTCTACAGTACTGAGCCCGATAATATTTCTAAGTTTGCCCTTTTCTAACATGACTTGAGTAGATTTTAAGCCCTGTGAGCCAGTATTTTTTAAAGTGAAAGTGGTGGGATTTAAAATTAGTTTAGTGGTTGGAACAAGGATTTTTAAATTAATGGATTATTATAGAGAATTAAATGGAAAATATCTGGATGGAAAAGATGAATTTTATTAATGAAGTTTTCACTTGCTTTATATCTACATATAAATGTTTTTATGTGTGTACTGTTAGGGTATGCAACACTTTTCTTTTTTTTTTTTTTTTTTTTTTTTTTTTTTTTCT